CCTGCAGAAGGGTGAGGTGAACAGATGCAATAGCTCCCACAGTGACATGGGATCCCCAGTACACACACAAGTGACAGAAATCCCAGGGGACAAGGAGGGGCGCAGGCACCAGTCTCCCCACAGCACTCACGGGGATGAACTGGCAGGGGGGTGGGCACTGAGCTGGCCCCTCTGACAGCACTGGGCAGAGCAGCCTGCCAGGGGGCAGCTTGCCAGCCCTAAAATACCAAGGAAGGAGAAAGAGCCAAGGGATGTCAGCTGGCACAGGGAGCCCAGGCTAGGTTTGTAGAACCAAAGCTGGCTCCAAGCTGAGACCTCGACACACAGAGCAGCATCAGGGGTGCCGACATCTCCCAACCTCCAGCCAAGAGTGCTGCCAAAAGCAGCCGGCCACGAGCTCACCATGCCTGCAGCACCCAGCACCCACACTATTTTAATCCCTACCCATAACCATGGAGCCCACCCGCCCTGCTGCTGCCCCCAGGGCTGCCCGTGACACCAGGGCCAGAGCAGGGACTCGCCACTGGCTTCGTCCTCCCGCAGCAACATGCGGGGCTCTGGCAGTCTTGGTGCTTCAGAGTCTGTTCTCTCACCACCGCCCCTTCCTTCCCCGTATACTAAATTCAGAGATTTCAGTAAAAGTAAGAGCCAGGTTTGCTGACTCCCTCTGCAGAAAGCACGGAGGCACAGGGGAATCAAAGGCTTTTGCAGCAGGCAGGCCTTGTTTTGGCAGGAGATGCAGTCCCCTCGGAGATCCGTTGTCTTTTCCCAAATCACAGGAGAGATTTGTTTCCCATTTGAAGCTGACTGCTGAAATCCCAAAGGGCTGGTGTTTCAGGGGCCATGGGAGAAGGAGACCCCTTGGCAGCCCAGAAGCCTCAGGCTGCTCTGGCATGGGAAGCTGCCAGTGCTGCGGTGGGACCCAGGGTTCGCCCGCAGCTCAGCAGAGCTTGTGGGGGTACACAGGGTGGGAGAGTGATGCTGCAGAGTGCTGCCCCCCCCAAAACTCCCCACAGCCAGTACTGAGGCCACTCTCCCCCAGCAGGAGCAGAGCCCCCATGCTGCTCCTGGACAGGCAATAACTGTGCTGGAGAAGCCCTCTGGCAAGCAGCTGGAGCTGCTGGTGATGCCCAGGGGGATGTGGGCAGCAGTGTGGCACAGGATGTAACAGGGTGGAGTGGTGAGACACATGCAGACCTTCTCCTCCATGCCCCAAAGTGCCTGTCCCTGGGTGCTGCCTGCTGGTGACAAGCCCCCAGCTGACTCAGGACATCTACGACCTGACCTGTCAATTTGAAGGAGTTTGGGGAACAGGCAAGGAAGAGTCCCTGCCTTATTTCAGACAGTGCATGCTTTTAAAGGACCCGGGGTTTCCTAAAGCAGGAAAGAGGGCACAGGCACTTGGATTATTGATGGAGCCATCGCCAGCAGGCTGAGCCTGACACAGGGGTCTGGTGGCACCAGAAACCCAGGTCCTTGTGGTCCAGTTCTTCTGGGGCAGCTGGCAGGACCTACCACACGAAAGGCACCTTCAGGCCAAGCTCCTCTGAAGGGCAAACCGTCATCTACCCTGATGGATGCGTGAGCAGGGCTGCTGCCATTCCCGCAGCTGCTCAGCTGGGCTGGCATAATGCCGGGGGGACAGCCCGCGGGAACCTCTGCAGAACATCTGGGGAGGTGAAGCATCAGGCAGGGCAGAGCCAAGTCCATCCCGACGGCCACAGTACCACAGTACGGTGGGAAGCTCCTGCAGACTGCGGGCAGCCTCCCTTTCCAAACGCATCACGAGTGGGGTGGGTGAGAGGGGGCCGTGACTCCTCCGTGCCCTGAGCACTTCCCACTCTCTGTCAGGAGCCCTGACCCCTCCGATACCAGCAGCGCCTCTGGGAGTGGGTGAGACCTGGGGCTTGTGCGAGAGCGGCAGCGTTGCGGGGGCGCAGGGGGAATGTCACCTCCCATGGGGGTCCCAGAGGTCCCACCGCCGCTGAGCTCTACCAGGACCCCCCACCTCCCCCTTGCTCCACGGGCTGCCAGCCCTGGTGCCCCGCGGGGCCGAGGCGCCTTCCCGGGGCGCTCCCCCGGTGCCCCCCGCCACGGCCGCCACCCCACATCCTGTCCCAAACGCTCCCCGAGGTCCGGCTGCCCGGGCACAAACACAGCCCCCCGCAACGCCACTGCTCTCCCCGGCACGGACACCCGGAGGGGAGACCCGAGGGAACAGCAGGGGCGGGGAGGGTCTGCCTCCGCCGTGCCGGGCTGTCACCCCGCTTCCCTGCCCCGGTGCCGGCGGGCAGCCCCTGCCAGGAGCTGCGGTGACGGGTCCCGCTGAGTCCCTATTGCGGGCTCGGCGCTGCCGGGGCACAGAAGGAACGGAGACCCCCCAAGACCTTCTCCCGCAGCCTCGCGTCGTGCGCCGGGCAGCGGGGAGCGGCGGGAGCGGCCCCGGTGCCACCCGGACCGCCCGCACACCCGACCCTCCGGAGCCGGTGCCGGTGCCCGGGCTCCGCTCCGCTCCCGCGGCTCCGGGAGCCCCGGAACCGGGCACCGTTCGCGGAGCCCCGCCGTGCCGCGGCCCCGACGGCTGCGGGGGATCGCCGGTCGCGGTGCCGCTCTGCAGCGGGCACCGGGGCTCTGGAGACGGCGGAGCGCCGCCGAGGAACGGCGGGGCCCGAGGCCAAGGGGACGGGAGAGCTGGCGTGGGACCGCAGCCCTTACCTGGGGGATGTGCCAGGAGCCGGAGCCGGTGCCGGTGCCGCGGCTGCCTCGGAGCTGCGGCTGCCGCCGCCTCCCGCCGCCGCCTCTGACACTCCGCCAGCCCCAGCCGAGCGGAGCCGCTCCGCCCCCGCCCGGCCCGGCCCCGGCCCCAGCCCCCGCCCCGGCCCGGCCCCGGTCCGGCCCGGCGGGCAGCGGTACCCCCGGGGCCGTCTTGCTTGCCCTCCGCTCGCTCCGGCACTGGCAGGGCCGGGCAGGGCACCGGCGGGGCTGGGGCAAAGCCGGGGGCAGATGGTCGGGTCCGAGCAGGGCACGGGCTGGACGCGGGGAGGGCAGGGAGGGAACAGGCAGGACATGACCAGGGAAGGCTGAACACAGGCAAGACAGCCAGATCCAGGCAAGGGTTGGCCACACTGAGCCAGAGGACATGGCCAGGAGAAGGCAGGGCACAGCCAGATCCAGGCAAGACACAGGCAAGGCATGGCTAGATGCAGGCAAGGGATGATCAGATCCAAGCTGGGCCGAGGCAGGACAGGGCCAGAGCAAGCAGGATCTGCTCTGCACCCTGGCAGACATGGCAGGGCACAGCTCAGCACCTGCTCCCCCGGCCTCAGAGCCCCCAGCTCACTCCCAGCCCAGTAAGAGGGGTTCCAGCCCCAGTTCAAGCTCTACAGCCACAAGCTGGTGTGTCAGATGCTGTTCCTCCCTTGCCTGGCCTGTCCCCTCTCCTCAAGCCCTTGGGAGGAGCCCAGGGGCCAAGCATCACCCCACTGCCCTCCTGCGCTCCACACAGTCCCCAGCACTCACCGTCAGTCCAAGCATCAAGATGGGGAAGGATTTGGACCATCTAAAGACAGAGACACTGGCAAGGTTTAGCTTTCCAGGTCTCCACTACTTACCAAACTCCTAGAGCCATTCGGCTGCCCAGGATCCTACTTGTCCCTTTGCTGGCAGCCCAGGTGTCCTGGAAAGCTGTGACTAAGGGACAAGAATGAAACAGGGGACAGGAGTGTTTCTGGGGCATCTCACTCAGGAGTCCCACAGCAGCAGGACCCTAGACCCCATCAGCCTGTCTCCTTTCAAGACTGTTAGCACAGACAGAGCAGGACACTGGGGACAGGAGGATGCCTGGGCTGGGCAACCTTTTCACTGCAGGGCAGGGGGTACAGAGAGCTGGGGAGGACTCGGGATGTGCTGTGCCAAGGGATGCTGGCCCTGCCATGGCCCCACCTCTCCCCCAGCAGATGGGACCTGGCACCAGCCTCACACACACCTTGTCACTGGCTGCAACGTCCCGACTGCCGCTTCGGCTTTGCCGAGGATGATGGCAAAGCCTCCGTGGCCCCCATCTTCAGGAGGGTTAGGGGACCAGCAGCACTGGGATCTGCTGTCTGGCTCCAACCCCCACAGAGCCTCAGCAAGGTATAAATATTTCAGGGGGCTTGGCAGTTTTGTAATAACCAGCAACAAAGATAAACACTGGGAAGAGCAATATTTTTCCATGTGGGCTGGAGGAGTTTAATATTTTATCACTCAGTGCACAAAATATTTATGAACAATCTCATGTCAATCACTGGATAAGAACTAATCATGACCTTTCCAAGCCAGGGAGGACACATTCCCACCACAGAGGGACAACCAGGCCTCATCAGCTCCTTGCACTCCCACCCCAAATCCCGGGTTTTGGTCATGTCTGACCAACAGGAAACAATCCCTGGGCTGCTGGAGGCACCAAAGGCACTCAGCAAAGTACTCTGGTATCTGTTATTGTCCCGGGACACTATGGCAGTGATGTCCAGGCTGCTTCCTTGTCCCAAGTTGGAACTGGGACCAGCATGGGCAGCCCTCCCTGCCTGCACTCCACAGCTGCAGGACCAGGCAGATGGGAACTCAGGAAGGCACAGTGCAGGGAGTCTGGTGTCACTGCCACAGGAGGGGGCTTATCAGCAGCTCAGGGACCTGGCTTTACTGGTGCTACTCTCTGCATATTCCCATGAGGAGCAGGGATGCCACCTCCCTCCAGCTCAGCCCAGCTCGGCACAGTGACTGGGACCTTCCCTGCTCCCTCCCCAGCTTGCCGAAGCTCAGGATGGCATCCGTGGCCCCAGTGGGTTGCCCGGGCAGGGAGCAAGTGGGAGCAGCAGGGATGCAGAGCCCCTGGGCAGTTCCCTGGCTCAGCTGGGGGCACAGGGCAGCCCACCAGCAGCCTCCACCCACAGCCCACTCTCCACCATGGGGCAGGATGGCACGATCGGCTGAGAGGCAGAGAGCAACACAACAGCCACCAGTGAGGAAAAGCATCCACTTTATTACAGACCCCAAAGCGCCCGTGGCAGTGCCAGGAGGACCAGGTTTACATGGGATGTTTCCATTGTTCAGCAAGGGGAAGAGGGGAACAAACCCAACCAACCAAACTCACAACTCTTTGGTGCTAGAAAATGTTGTGGTGTGGCAGAGAGGAGCTGTGGGTGAGAGGGGTAGAGACAAGGGGGGACATCTCTACCATCCACCACCACCCCCGAGACACCTGCGAGGAGTTTGCAACGCACCCAGACACACACAAATGGCAAATGCATTTCACTGTTCCCCCAAACTGCACCCACCCGGCACCGCCGAGCGCCACAGAAACCCCTCCCACCTCCCAGCACCCCCAAAACAGTCAAACACCCTTTCTGCAAAGAGGGAGAGCAGGTCCTGGGGGGAATCAGCAACCGAAATCTCTTGGCTGGAGAGGAAGGAGGTGGGAAAGGCGACTTGGTTCCCAGTAACTCAGACCCTGGCAGGAGGAGAGGAAACCAGGTCTCTGCTTCACTCCTCTCCTCTCTCAGCAGCAATGGGCTCCTTGGTCCACTTGTCTGAGACCTCCTGGTTGCCTGCGTAGCCCACATCAGGTAGCAGACCCGGGGCTCCCTCCCCGTCCCCGGTGACCTCCAGGTCCAGCTCCTCGAAGGAAGAGCCGCTGGCTCCCGACTCGCTGTAGCTGTGCTCACTGCGGTTGTCCGCCTCCTCCCGGCCACGGCTGGCTGGGAAGGGCAGCAGGATGGAGGTGGCCACCGAGGTGTCTCTGCTGTCAGTTGTGGCCTCCATGCTGATGGAGCTTGCCTCACTCATGGTGTCGACCCCTGGGATAGAAAGAGAAGGAGAGGGAGTGAATGCTGCGGGAAGGAGGTGATGGGGGATGGAGTGCCATAACCTTCAAAGCCACCTGAAACCTCAGAGATGTCAGGCCACAGCAGAGACCAACTCCTACACCTTGTCACATCCTTTGAGATGTGGCCAGGCTAAGACAAGAAGCTGGACTCAAGCAACTCGCTGAAATCAGGGCACCAAGTCAGTCAGTACAAACAACCCACAGCTTCCAGCTGTGCCCTGACCTCCTGGCCACGCCCTGGCCCCACAGCTGCTCTCTGTGCACACACCAAAGATCTGGCAGGCCACTCCTTAGGAAGAATGCATAGCCTGGGAGCTGGGGAACAACCCTGTCCCTGGCAGGACACCATGCTTAGGCACTTGAGGGGATGGTGGCACACGGACGGGTTCTCAGATGTGCCGCGGTCAGAGGCAGGTTTAGGTCCAGCCTCATGCCAGGGCATTCTGGTGCCTTCAGCACTCGACAACCTGCTCCCACTCCCTCCGTGGCTCCCCACAGCTCTGGGAGCAGTGTAAAGGCAGGCAGGGTAGTGGCAGACAGGACTCAGGGTGCCAGAGGATGGTAGGAGCCTTCCTAGCTCGCTCCGCGCTTTTCCACATCACCTGACTGCCAGCCCACACCTCCTCTCGTGACCCAGCCCCCCCGGGGGCTGCCCCTGCCTGCCGGGGCGGACCCCTGGGCTCTCCGCCCCCTCCCCGGATCCCTGCCTCATTAGCTCCATCGACAACACAATTAAGGAGTCGACAAGGAGAGGAACGTGTCAGGTTGAGACCAGTAGCTCGGTGCTGTTGCCGGAGCAACCAGCCAGGAGACAAAACCCTCCTAAAAAATGTTAAACATTGCTAATTACGATATCAGAGATCCACGTGGTTAATTATGACATCACAGATACATGTTGTTAATTACGACACGGTAGCAAACACTGGACAGGCTCCTCCATCGTGGCCCTCCCTGCTTCATCTTCTCCCCCCTTGCCTCACACTGGTGGGAAGTGTGTGCCGGGCTCTGTTGCTTCCTGGCACCTCCATCCACGCCAGGCTAGGTGACCTTGCTGAGGATCATGCCCCACAACAGGAGGGAAACCAGGAGGAGTCCTGCTCAGCAGCAGCACTGGTGGAGGGCTGCACCTTGCCACCAACAGGGCTGGGAAGTGGTGAAGAAGATGGTGATGACCACAGAGAGGCTCCCAGGTGGGAGAGGAGAACCCTCTCCTCCACACTGTCTCCTGCTGGTGCAGCTTCATCCTCAGCTTCAGACACAGGGTTCTCCCAGGCTCCCACAGGCATTTCCAGCCTCCCTCTGCGGTGCTCAGGGCTGGGCTGCTCGCTCTCCTCCAGCTCTGTGGCAGCCACTGATCTCCTGGAGGAGACCCACCAAGGAGGGAACTTGCCTTCCAAACATCCTTAAATCCCTCCCTGCGCTGTTTTTCTTCCCAGCCTGGGCAGCTGCCAGCAGAACTGCTTGTAAATGGCAGTCCTCTGCCTTCTGAGCAGCATCATCCCACGGTCCTGCCGGCTGAGTGACGGCTGCTCGGAGAGGACCGAGCAGTGGCAGCGGGATGAGGAGTAGCCAGAAAAGATCTGCAGATACAGTGCACCCACTGCTCCATCCCACCTGATGGCATATTGGCTTCATCCCGCTCGGAAAGGAGCCTGAGCCTCCACTCTGTCACCTTGGCCACAGCGTGCAAACCCTTGGGCAGTTGGCTCCAGCTGAGCCCCGCCAGGCCATGCCTGGTGCCCCCCCCCACATAAAGGAGTGAAGGGCTGCCCGCTGACACGCGCTGCCTTTGCTGCAGCATCAGGGAGCACCTCGACACGGAAACTACATTTGCTCTAAGTTAAAAAGGATGTTCTGCACGCTGTGGTGAGACGCTCACTGCAGCCACTGAGCGGGCAGCAGAAAGGTGGGAGGTGCTGTCCCACCTGGGCAGGGCAGTGGGTCAGCAGGGAGTCTCTGGGAAGACAGAGAGCTGCAGGAGATGGATGAGAGTGTGCGACCTCCAAGCTTTGAAGCCAACTAAGGGTTTGCCGGATCTCTAGTGAGGATATCACGAAAAGAAATAATCCAGTTTGGCCAAATTGGAGGCCTGAGGTGACATGGACACATTCCCACTATGGCTTCATGACAGCTCACGTCATTCGTAGTCATCTTGCGTCCCTCTGAAACCCAGGACAGGAGTGACACCGACTCCCCAAGCTGTGCCCTGCCTGCATGGCTCTCCTCCCCTGGCACCCCCAGGGCCATTTTTGGGTCAGAAGCTGTCACATGCCACACAGCAAAGAAGCTCCTGAGGAGGGGAGCAGCAGATCAGGAAGGGGAAGACATGGATGAAGCTGACCTACACACTGCTCCGAGCCACCACCGTGGGAAAGCACTGCTGTCCTCACCCTTGCAGCCTCCTTCCTCTCCCTCGCTCAAAGGGTGACAATAAATCGAGTCCTGTTTCCTTTCAGCCAGGCACTTTGTCACTGCTCTGTCACTTCTGATCACGTTTGAGCAGCCTCAGCTGGCAAATTTGCCCGTTTCAGCAGCCTCGCTCTCCTCTGCACAGGACAAGGCCGGCTCTGGCGTGGCCGCTCCGCCTGGCCAGGATGGATGTCTGGGGTGGGCAGGGTGACAGACGGAGCTGGGGACCGTGAGGGCTCAGTTCTGGCAGAGGATGTGGCAGGAACTCCCAGCTGTCCCAGCACAGCCCAGAGAGGCCAGGCAGGCAGTGCAGGGGGCTCCAAGAAGGCAGCCAAAGCCCCGTTGGAAGGGCGAGCAGGGGTTCAGCTCCTATCTTACAGGCAGAGGCTTCCAGCAGCTGTCACACCCATTTGTCCATCCTTCCCCACACACCTTGCTTGGTTTCCCTATTCCCTGCCCATTCCCTGCATCCACCTTCTCAAGGCCAGTTCCTGCACCAGAAGCCAGACCAGCACCCTAAGCCAAATGTGGCTTTTCCCTCTGGCATGCAGCAAGGTGCCAGTCACCCTGTGGAAGCCCCTTCACCACCCTGCTCTTCCAAGGATGGTGTAGCCCTCCCACTGCACCTTAACTCAGTAGGAACATGGAATCCATGAAGCTTTCATCTGGGAAACAGAGTCACAGCCTGGGGTGAAGCCACACCAGGGTGCTGAGGAGCCCCAAAAAGGCCAGGGCCACCTAGGAAGAAGGGATGTCAAGCTACCAACTCCAAGAGACCACCCAGGAATGGGTGCAACAGGAACTACTCTCTAAGGCAGTTCAGCCTTGTGCCATCCCAGGTAGTGGCATTCCCAGATCCCGAATGAGGTCAGGCTCCCCTCCTGCATTGCCCCAGTGTGACACTGATGCCTGAGCATCACTCTCCTCTTGGTGCTCCCAGGCCCTCTCTTTTTCCCTGTTTGGCCAAATATTCATTGCCCCTAAACACTGGATCAGTGTGCTGCTGGGGGCACAGCTCCTCTGAGCTTGCCAAAGCTCGCACACAAGCCACCAGGAGAGGGGCTGGGGCAGGCAGAGCAGCAGGAAGGCTTGGCAGGAGCTGTGTGCCGAGCCCCTTCTTGGGATGTAAGGGCAGGCAGGGACAGGTAGAGCTCTTTGGAGGAGAGAAGCGGGGATGAGGCAGAACACATCAGGGAAGGTGTCCCCCACGGCACTGGGGCTCAGTGGGTGACACGATCCATCAGTCATACCTGAATGCTGCTGGGCAGACTCAGCTCGAGCAAAATGATCACCTGAGACTCTGGGCAGAGCCACGTGCTCAGGAACCATCTGTGTTCATGCCAGCAAGCCCGTGTCGAGAGGCTGCTTTTGTTTGCTTTCACCTTCCATGCGCCGCAGCGGGGTCAGCACTGCCGAGAGGGAGCCGGGAGCGAGGGCCTGCTGAGCGCCGTGCTGATGCCAAAGCCCCAGAAAATAATTAAGTACAAAACAACTAATCGTGATTGACACTGGCCCCCTGGAGACCCATCAGCCGCCTTCCAAAAATGCTTCCTGTCTTTCCGATGACCCTGACGATCGCGAAGAAGGGATGGAATTATTGCAGAGACAGCCACAGCCCCTGGCCCCTGCCTTGCATATTGAGTGTGTCCGTCCTCAGCAGAGCTGCCAGCACCCTGCTCCGTGCAGGGCAGCAGCAGAAAGCAGAGACCCTGGACCATGTCCCACAGCCTTTGTGGTCACTGGCTTTGCTCAGAGCCACAGGTACCCAGCACCTTGCAGGGTGAGCTCAGGAACAAGGACAGCATATGACAGCCTGAATGGAGAGATGTGCTCCAAGGTCAGGAGGCTCAAGAAAACAAATCCAGGCTTTTCTTACACATCCAAGTCACTTGGTACTGTCTGGCACCAGCCACATCAACAGGTGAGGAGAAATGGCAACACCTTCCACTTGGAACATCTCAAGCCTTTAATGCAAGGAAAGCATAATCCAGCTGCTGGCAGGGAGTTTCATCAGCTGTGACCAACTGGTGCTGTGTCCACACAGAGCATTACTAAACATGATGTTCACTCTGAAATCACAGGCTTCATGCTGTCATGCCTGTTGGAAGGGGCTATGGCTCAAGGAGCTTTCTCCTTGAGCAGCTGCTCAGGGAAGGAGGAGTAAAAACGATATGAAAAGACACTGGAGCTTTCTCTTAACTTCAACTCAGAGGTGGCTGCACAGATCCCAACACAGAAAATCCTTGGGAAGGGAGGATGAGTCTCAACCCACAAGGTGTCATCTTCAGGACGTCTCCTTCAAGGCATCTCCAGCGAGCAAGGGGGCAGATGGGAGATGTGGAGCCTGACAAGACCAGCTGCCCATTCCCACCTCACCTCCTGACTTGGACCCTGCCTTTAAACCAGGAGCAGCCTGACGGCTACAAACCAAGTTCCTGGTGTCAGCAGGCCAGTGGCAGAGGGACAAGGATGCTCACTGGGCACCATTTCCCCTTGCACAAGGCCAGGACCTCCCCACACAGTGCCATCCTCCCCAGCTGTCAGCAGTTGTGCCAGTCTGGGGCACTGTGACATTACAGGGATGCAGGAGATCACAGGGACCACCAAGATCCTCAGGTAGGAGCTGCACAAGCAACCCAGAGGTTTGCCACATCCTTGACCATCTCCAACGGCCAGAGCAAGGATGTGACCCCCTGCCAGACCTGGCTCTGCCACTGTGCCCAGCAGTGACAATCACAGTGCAACATCCAAGCCCAGCTCTTTAGCCTTGGAGACGGGGCCAACCTCACAGCTATTATTATCATTTTAAGATGGTTTTGTGCAGACTCAGCAGATGACACCGCATCAGACTGCACCGACAAAAGCTCATCTGTGTGGCTGGAAGGGGAGGGGTGTTGGAGAAGCTGGTCCAGAGCTGCTGCCAGGGAGCCCAGCCCAGGCTCTCCCACATGAGAAAGTTCAACATCATTTGCTGTCTAAAACCAGGAAGACCTTCCTAGCCCTACTTCCTGCAAGGCAGGGGACTTCCCCCCACAGGGGTGCTGGCAGTGGCATCCCAGGGAAAGCACTGAGACAGCCAGGGTGCAGGGCAGCGGCTGCTCCCAGCATCCCTGGATGATCTGCAGGATCTTGCACCGCCTGACTGGGGCAGAAAGGAGCACGTGCAGCTACTGAAGATACCATCCTGCAGATGCTTTTGCTCCCATGGATCCTGCCATTCCTCTCCAAAACCAAGGGACAACCATGGGAAGATGTCAGAGTGAGTGGGCTTTGGGGCAGCTTTGGCCAAGCCGGGCTGGTGCCCACAGCACCAGGAACACAAGGAAAAGAGGAGAAGAGCTGAGTGAGCACCGTGAAAATACAGGACCTCAAAGCACTGGGAAACAGCTCCAATTAAACTCTTCATTGCGGCGCTAAATGGACAGAGCTCCCAGAAAAGCAATTCCCAGGCTTGCTTTTACGCTGCACGCGATTAAGAATTAAAGCGCCCCAAACCTGAAGATGTGTTAAAATAAATGACCCAACTGCCCGGGAGGCGAGCAGAGCCATCATGGTTTTTTCATGCCCATTACACAAGCACGCGGGGCAGGACGAGGTGGCTGCCCCTGCCAGCAGCAGCTCGGGTGTGTTGTCCAGCACCCGGGAATGCTCGGATAGCCGGCTCCCACATTTCATAGGCACTGGAGCACGTGGGCCGGCGAAGGCAATCAGCATTTTGGGTTACTATAGCACTCCTGTTCTGCGCCTACAGCCATTGTGGTCCCTTCCTGTATGAATACATCCAGGCTCCAACAGATCTTGCTGAGCAGATGCTCTCAAGCAACTCCACCACCAGCTACAGCAACCTGGTATTTAAGCTCCTCGCAGTCCCAATATGTAACAGATGAAGATGAGATCAAGGAAGATGTATATGACAAAGAGAAAAACAAGCCCAGCTGCAACCAAAAGCTGTGAGATTCAGCTCTGCGCTAACAACAGTGGGACAGTGGCTCAGTGGCAGCTTGGCCCTCGCCCAGACACTGCAGGGGTTCCTGGGTGCTCCCTGAGGCACGGCATGACACCCTGGGGACAAGATCCTTGGGGATCAGCCCAGAGTGAGGGAAAGATGTGCGCTGAGACTCAGTGATTGGGCACCAGGTAGGCACAAGTCAGTCCCTCTGTCTGCTCAGGCAGAGGACACTGGGACCCCCACCTTTGTGAGGAGCTGATGCTGATAGAAGATGGAGCCCGTACGCAAGCCATGGATACCTGTGATGTCTGTCTGGGCATCCTCGGCCTCAACTGCAGCAGCTCTGCTCTTCCTCTCCAGTTCTTTCATTTCAGGCACATAGAAGTCCCCTTGGCGGGCCAGGGGACACACGAAGTAGATGCGGTCCTGCTTGTAGATCTCGATCCGGGGGTGGGCACACAGCTTCCTCTCCTGAAAGACAGCAGGCAGCCATGAGTCAGGGATGTGCCCTCACCCCCTACCCCAGCAGCCCCCCATCACACGGACCTGCCGGCCTGGCTGTGCCATAGACTGACCCACTCTGCCCATAGACATGGAGACCCACTGAGGAGCAGTGGGTCCCATCCCAAAACCACAGTGGTGCCTTCCCTGTCACAACAGCCTGCACACACCAGGGCAGGCAGGTTTGGCCCTGAGGGTAAGCAGCCAGTCGGGCCCCAGGAGGAGATGCAGAAGAGCATGAGAGATTCATTTCCCCCAGCTCAGCCTTGGCTTTGGTGTACTGATTCTGGGCTGGAGCGAGGGGTTTTGGGGACCTGGGCAGCTGCTTCGCACAGACCTGCCAAATCTCTGGTTCCTCCCAGCAGCCCAGCCCCACGAGCAGGCGTTGCACTTCTCCACTAATTAATATAATCCAGAGCCGACAGCTCAAGCAGCTCCTTTCAGAATGGCGAGGGCAGGGGGAGTGGGAGATGAATCCCTGGCATTTCAGACAAGTCCCTCTCCTCCTCTTCCTCGCCCCACCTCCCCCTGGCAGCACTCCTCAAGACCTCAGACCCCTCAGCCTTGCAAGGGACCCATGGCAGGGGCATGTCCCCCTGGGCTGCACAGCCCACACCGAGCCAGGGCTGTGGGGACTCTTGGGGTGCCGGGGCAGGGCTGAGGAGCAGCTGGACCCCTCTTGCCACCCCCTCCTCACCCGCCCGCCCGCCAGCTGCTCACTGGCAGAGGGGGCGGCTGATTACAAGCCGGGTGAGAAAGGAGAGTGTCTCTTCAGCGGATTTTCTTTTTCTTTCTTTCCCCTTTTCAAATCACTGACAGCTTTTATTTAACCCTGCAACCACCCTGATTATCCTCCTCCTTCTGCTCTATTCTCTTCCTCCCTCTTGCCCTGATTATTCTCTTCTTCCCTGATCCAACGATTTTCCTCTTCCTCCCTATCCTCCTCCATCATGGCCCACTGATGTGGCTTGCCCAGACATCCTCCAGCAGGGTCCCCATCCCTCTGGGACTCTCCTTAGCCACATCTGGCCCCGCTCCAAGCATGAGCTTTATGGGCACATCAATCACGACCTCACAAAAGCCTGTTCATTCCTGACCCCCTTCACCCCTGGGGATGGACCAATGTGATTAAGAATCATTTATTTCCCAGACAAATGCCGGCACCAGGCAGGATCCACAATATGAGCCAACACTGACCCTCTTCCCAGTGCTGGCAGCAAGGATACCTGAAGAGCAACCTCCACGCTGCCAGGATGCTCCGCAAGCAAGACAGGGAGAAGATCCCACATGAGCAATTTTTGGGTCCATTTTCCTGGGAAAGCCTGCAGGAGCTGGCAGTGCAGAGCCCCAGTTTACCCAGCAGCACCACAGTGACAGAAACATGACCCCAGCAGAAGCTTTACCCATCCCATCCCAGTGCCTCTGAGCCTGAATTTCGGCACAATTCCCTCCTCCAGCCAAGGAGTAACCACATTTGCGCTCCTGGGGACGCGCAGGGACGCAGGCGGGCTTCCAAGGCTTGGAGCCCGGGGTTCCCACTCGCAGGCAGGTGAAACACTGAGGCCTGTGGATCAAAACTGTATTAAATAAAAACAAGCTGGGCTGTTTTTAGCAGCAGAGCAGAGGCGGTTCATATCACTCCTGCTTTTTCAGCAACAACGCAGACAAGAGCCCTCCCCACTGCTCTGCCCCTTGCTCTACCAACCACAAGCCCATCCGCCAATCTTCAGCTCGGCTTCTTATTTTAGGTTACTGCAACACACACCAGAGATGGGTATCTCCAAGATTTGCAGGGTTTTTTTGGATGCACCTAGCTGGTCCTCCACCACTTAATGCAGTCATGGACAGCTCAAAGGATCTTAGAGCAAAGAGACCTTCACTAAACTCTAACCAGTCTAAAACCTCAGGGCTCCACCCTGGCCTCCAAGACATCCCAAGATAACTTCCCAAAGGCCATCCTGAGACTCCAAAAGAGCAGATCTGAGACATAAACTCTCCCAACAGTATATCTAGGCTGCTTCAACTGCCCTTCCAATCACACAGCCATAGTAGTGACTCCCCCAAAGCACAAACAACACCCCCTCCACCCATATGAAACACGGGAATCTTGGCTTTTTAAGGAATAAAAATGCACACCTCTGTGAAGAGCAGGGTCCTGGACTGGCTCTTGAGCTAAATGCTGCTTCACACTCACAGATTATCCCATAAGAGAGATAAGGACTCTCCACCCTGCCAGGGTGGGAAGCAGCTTTGTGTCCCTGAAGCCAGAGGAGCAAAAGTGCCCTGGAGCCAAAGCCCATGGCCAGAGACCAGGTTGGTGGGATGACGCTGAAGTGGCCAAACACTCACTGTAAAACCCACACCTGCCTTATTATGGACAACTACAACACTTGGCTTCTTCCCATTTCATCCAGGGTTTTGCCGAAAATGAAACCGAGAGAAACCAGATCTGGTGGTGCTAATTTATGCCTGTACAAATCAAATTGGGAGCCAGGCTAGTGAGCTGGCCTCAGCCCCTGATATGGCTAATACAGAGCTCAGCACTGGCACATGGGCTCAGAGAGGACAATATCCCCAAGAAGGAGCAGGGAGGTGGCAGCTGGGAATGCTGTCCCATCCAGCCTGAGACAAAGGGATGACACTGCCTAAAGACTTGAGGAAAGGGCAGAGACAATGAGATGGGGAGCCATGACAACAGAAATGGATAAGGGGATCATCCAAAAAATGGGCAAGAGGATCATCCAAAGCGGGTCAGGGAGATCAGCCTTGTGATCATACCAAAGGAGATTAGGAAGCAGGCAGAGGCCAGGCAAGTATAGTGCAGCAAAATGCAATCAGGAGGCTGGTGCCAGCATAGGACAGAATGGGTTTGGGATTATCCCAGTGGAGAGAAAGGCTGCAAGGCAAAGAAACAACCTGGAGAGACTGGAGAGCAGAGTCCAAAGGTGAAGGCGTAAGCAGAGAGCGAATTAGCAAAGGCTCAACAACATGGCAAAACAACAGAGAGGCTCAACAGGCAATGCTGCACTGCCGCTGAGGAGGGAGCCCCTCGCTAGCTGTGCTGCTAAGCCAACAGATGGAGCAGTGCAAGGGGGACGTGGAGTTTGCAAGGCAGAGCCCTGGAGTCAAATCCAATGCTGTCTCACACGGGCGGAGGAGCTCAGCGAGAGGTGAACAGTGGGACACCGACGGCGTCAGGGCCAGGCTGCTGGCTAGGACAGCAGGGCCAGTAAGTAGGGCAGGGAAGGGGATTCATCCCTTCACAAGGTCGTGCAGTGACACCTCCCTCCTCAGCCTGTGCTGGGAACTTTCCCTTCCTACGGCAAAGATGGAGGCGGCAGCGCCGCACACAAAGATATTTCCCCATGGGACCCTCCACCAGGCACCCGAAGCACGGGATTCATTGCACATAATCCACACAGCCAATCTACACATACACAGCAAAGGCAAATCCATCCAGAGTCCACAAGTTCAGTCCCAACAGGCACAGCAGCTCCAGAATGCTCCTGCTGTGTCAGACCCAGTGCTTCCCACAAAGCCAACTTCTTCTCGGCCCATCTGCGGAACATGGTGGGGTGCTTCTCACCAGCTTCTTGGGAGCAAGGGTTTTTGTAAGGGAAGGCTCTTGCCTCTTCTTTCCCAGGTGAAACAGCACCTCGCCCAGTCTTTAACCCACCAACCATCACTGATTCCCTGACTCTCCTTCCTCCAGGTTGCTCTCATCCCTCTAGGAATGTAGAATCCCCTGGCCTCATGTATCAGAAAGGACAACAGGATTATGCACCAAACTAGCATTTTGGGAGAGCTTCCCAAGCAGCAGGAGGTGGCACCTCTTTGGCAGTACAAATTTTCCTCCTCCTACTTTTCCATAGGGAACAGACCCCATCATCTGCCCATAGAATGGCTTGGGCACAGCCTTACAGATGGAAGATGCCCCCACTTCCCCAGGAGGGCAGGAGAGCAGCCCCAGGGCTATGGAACACACGACCAGGGGGCTGAGACATGACCCGCAGTCATTCCAATCCCAGCAGAACTGTGCACAGGCGGGAGGAGGCGGCAGGGTGCTGGCATCACGCCGTGCCCCTCAGCACCTGCTGGGAAGCAGAAGGTGAGCTGGGGCACTGCGGGGACTGGCTTTGTCACTCTGTCAAGCTCATCTGCTCAGGAATTCAAATGTCACCAACTGGATCTGCTTCATCTCCCACTGCTGGAAGAATTTGTCTTGTTAGGAGACCACAGGTGAGCCCTGTGGATGCTCTCTGAATCCTCGCCATGCCCGGGCATGCTGGCTATCAGGCTCCAGCTGACCCCAGAACACTTCCATGATTGCTGGGATGGCGGTGCAGAGGCAGCTACTGTCCTCACCCCACTTCTGGCTGCAAGCCCTCTGTCCCCACAGTTCCTCTTGACTCCTCACCGTGACCTCCTGGCATGGCTCATGGAGTGATGGTTAAGCTAAGGGGGCTCACCAGCAACCCCCAACCAGCTAGAGCGTCATTGCACCCTCACAGCCACAAGCCTCCCTTCACCTGTACTTCCTCCTGGCTCTTGGGCTGCTCTGGTTAGTGCTGGTAAGTCAGCTGGCACCTGGCAGAGCGTGGGGAGACCCCCGGGGGACCCACCAGCCCTGTCCTCACACGCCAGCAGCTCCTGCCTGCTCAGACAACACAACTCCCCCACATCTTCCTTCCAGCTGGAGACATCCATCCTCTCAGTGATGGGGTCGGACGCTTCAGTCCCAGGGATTTTAAAGAAACAACAAAACCGCTTGGAGCTGAGCGGCCCCAAATCAGTTGCTAAAATTAAAAGCTGAAACTGAGCCACCAGCGAGGACTGGAGGGAGCGCGCTGTGTGCCACATCCTCCTCGCTTCCTCACAAGCTCCACGTTCGGTGTGTCATCCCTGCTTATCTTAGAACACGGGCGCTAGGTAGTCCAGGGAGGCTTTGCAATTCATTTTGCACAGCACCC